CCCCGCCCCGCCGGTGGCCTCTGCCGCGAGGACACAGTGCCATCTCCCGGCCCCGCGGGGCGAATCCTCCCGGGATGCCGCCAAAACCCGCTGAGGTTGCGGGAAGCCCCGCTCTGCAACCAGGGCGGGTGTGCAACCACGGGGAGGAAATGCAGCCCGACCGGGACCTAAAGGAGAGCTACAGCACTCCGAGACCCCTGGGAAATGCATTCACAACGTCGGCAAGAGGGACTACCCTGGCCATGCGCACACACACAAACACGTGCAACTGCCTGAGATAACTCACAGAAACATCATCTGGGAATTTGTCGTTTTCACTAGAAAATCTCTCCTCCACTGCTCACTGCTCCTTCACATCGACTGGGACATCCTGAACCAGCAGGGAAGGTAAGGAGCTACAGGCTGAGGATAGGCCTAGTGTCCTTGCACAAGAAGGGACATCCCTACCCCGATGAGAAGACTCACAACTCCAGGGAAGTCGCTGCTCTGCAAATACTGTCTAAAGGCAAAGGACGGAAAGACCAGTCTGAAAAGCAGCCAAAGTCCGTGGCCCTTTGAACTTGCATTGTGTTGGCCAGGGGAGGCTGCCAGCTTTCAGTGCAAAGAGCCCTGTTAGCTGTGGCTGAGCAGCACAGCCAGGAATGGATGCATGTGGTGCATGTGTGTGTTCCCAAAGAAAGAGTTTCTGAGGGAGAATATGTGTTTTTAGGTGAAAGCAATGTGGGACATCACTGGATATCTGCATATGGTTTAAAGGAGTGGGGTTGCATGGTGCTGTTGCAAGAGTCCAGAGCAGGCTAGTAGACTCAAAGCTCAGGTGCTCACACAGGGGCCAGTGGACAAGGAACACGGGGCAACCTGAAACCCAAGTGGAAAATCCCAGTTAGCAATGTCACTGCAGGGGGATGAACCTGCACTTGGTATGCTGAACTAGTACTTCAAAGAGGACAGGGAAACTCTGGCAATTTGCACTCTGAAATGGTCCAAGGTAACCAGTACTGATGCAATTGCATGTTCCTATTCTAACAGCACTGGGTACACCTTCCCTCTTCCCTCTCCCCCTCTTTGCTCCAGAACAAGAGAATTTGGGAATTCCTTCTGGCAAAAACGAGCTTTGCTTTTCCCTAGCCAGTGCCTTTCTACCAGACAACCTCTGACACTCCAGGCTGATTAAACAATAAAGTTTCAATACACTGGTGATATTACGATGATTACACAACAACCAGAGTAAGAGATAAGCTTGCAACATAAACATAAAAATAAGGCAATAGGAGGAGGCAAAATAGATAATTTTGATGATTTGGCATGAGCAGTATTTTGCATACCTGATATTTCACTTTGCCTTGCCATTACTATCAGGTAGAGTGAGCATGCAAAAGAAAATGGATGGGAAAAAAAGGGGAAAAAAAAGACCAAAAGCATATAAAAGCCACAGAGAAGTAAAAGAGATAGACAAAAGATTAGTGAAATGAGAAGGAATAGAGAAAGAGGAAGACACAAACACATAACAAATAGCTTATGACTTTGGATATCACAGTTACTTTGTCCAGCCATAGCCCATTTAAGCTTCTTAGAATCTCACTGGAAAATGTACCAGGTAGTGAGGCATAGTGTGGTGTGTGGAGAAAGTAAACAAGACAGTTGCTGGAGTCTGTCTTGTCCTGCACAGGGACCACTATAATCAGTGTTCTCAACATCCTCATCTCACTGTTATTTTTTTTCCCAAGGTGATCATCAGTGTTCCTATCATGGGTAGGATGTACCTGGTTCTCCACAGACACAGAACACAAAATACTGGCTACTGTAGTGAATTCATTGACGGAGTAGTTAAAACCCAGTAGTTTTTATACTGCTGGTAATTACTAAGGGTCACCTCCCTTTCCCCTACTGCTCCAACATTTCTTGTCCCATCCTGCTGCCACAATGTCAGCAGGGCTCTGTGTGTTACGCCTGCATTGCATTTGGCTGTCTACCTTGACCTGTCATCCCACACCACAGGCTTGCTGATCACTTCAGAAATTAACTCTCTACCACTGCATGTAGCTTCAGGATGCATGAAGAAGTGGCTCTTCTGAAAAAGGTATGTATTTGCACCCAAAGCACCGAGTCACTTCAGATGCACATTATCCAGCTGGTAATTTCAGTGAGGTGGATTCTGGCTCCACAGTTATGGGTTTCAACACAGGTTTGGACCGAGATGCATGAAAATTACTCCACTCACTCTTCCCACTGCAAGGCTGATTTGATTTAGCAGCTATTGGATTTTGTGTCAACAAATCACAGTAAGTCTGTTTTAGTGTTCACCAATCTGAGCCCGCAGTGGTGCATATAGTAGAGCTTTCCTCAAGGATAGAACAACTGTAAAGAGAACTCATCTTCATCACAAAAATATGGCAAGATTAACTGCCTTGTCATAGTTTGTCTCTGTAAGAATTCATCTTCCCAATCAGCAAGATAGGTACTTGCCCAGTTGCTTTATTTTTTTCACCTGCTCTCCCATATTGGGCTACAGCTTTCCCATATTCTCTTCACCCCTTTGGTGACTCTTTCTAAACCAAATCTATGCTCTTTTATATCAACATTTTGCTGACCTTTCCTGAAATAATTTTTGCCCTCCACCCCATTGCCCTTGTACCTTTCCATGGCTGACACTGTATATAAGCATACATACATCTTTTACAGTTCTGTGTTCTCCTGCTCTAGAGCTCAGACCTACTCTTCTCTGCTCCTTTTCTCCCTGTACCTTCTTCCCTTTCTCCATGTTCAGGCTCATATCCCAGTGTGAGCACTCTTACCTCATGTTTCCCTTATGCTGTATCTCTCCAATGTGTGGTGAGTGGAGCAATGCTCTGAGCTCTTCGATGCAGCCCAAAAACCCCTACTAAAGGACAAATTTCTCAGCTGCTATGCTGCACCAGAGCCTGCCCCAGCTTGGTGTTTGATATCCAAAGAGCAGATTCTGGAGAACATCTGATGTCTGTTCAAGTGGAGTGACCCCCAATGGGAAACCTGTCTGAGGCTGAACAAGCACTCTGCAGTGGGAAAGGATGGGAGGGAAGCTGAACCAAAACCAATGTGCTAACATGAAAAAATGTAAACAGCAGCTGATGTTGATCAGGAGGAGGAAGACTGTTAATTTAGAGCACGCTGCTCGTCCACGTTGGGTGTAGATAGAAACAATATGCTGGAGAGCTGCTACGCTCACAGAGAACGGCCGGCGTGGAGCGGCTTGTCCATGTGCCAGGGGTGGGTGGGGTGGGCGTGCAGGGAGAACGCCCCCTTGGCATGTTGTCCAGGGGAGGGGAAGGAAGGGGATGGCTTTGCCCTGCTTGTTGCACTTTAAATACCTTTGCACAGAGCTCTGGCCACAGCTGTTAGGTCAGAAGGCTTCACCTGCTGCAGGAAAGGAGACTCCCTGCGTGGGCATTGCTGTTTCTGCAACATGGACTCACAGCACTGCAAAATGAATGGTGACCCATTCCAGGTAAGTAATGGGGGCTGTGTCTGCCTCACCCTGCCCCACAATGCTTGCAAGTCGTGTCCCCCACTCTCTGAAAGGCAGTGTGACCCAAGATAGCAGGAACCAACTCAGCCTGTCTTGTTGCTTTGCAGTGCCTGGTTGCCACCATTCTCCCTTTTGGCAGCCCCCATACATGTCTGCTGTTAATTGTGCTTGCAAAAGTGCAGTGAGAATGCAAATGAACATTGCAACAGGATCCTTGCATACATGGCAAAGGGAAGAAGTAGCAGAAAAGACCAGCAGCTAGAGGTGTTAAACCTGTGTGATGTAAGCAAGCTGTCTTATTCTGTTAAAGGGAAACAAATTAAGTTATGCGCTCTTCTGCTGAAGCTACTTGTTAAATTTTGGGACTCCAATGTCCCCTTGTATAATGTTTACTGACTGACTTTGAACCCTTTGCTTTGGGAAATAGAGGAAAGTACTGAAGCTCATGACTTTAGATTACGATTACAGGCACTAATGTTACTGCAGGGGCGAGTGATATAACCTGAGGCCAGCATGGTTAATTATTAGGACCAAATTCTATGCAATGCTGCTGGAAGCAGAGACAAGCTGCATCAGATGTGCAAAAAAGGGGCTTCAGTTTCTACAAAGCTAGTTAAGAGCAGTGTTGCCAAGGAAGCTTGTTTTCCTGCTGCCTTGTGTGCTGAGGCTCCCACAACAATTCTCCAGGGTCTCACCTTGCTGCTTCTCTGAGTTGTGTAATTGCTTGATCCCAATAAAATTTGTGGGAGATCAGCTTTAAAATGCCTTAAGAAATCTGACTTGGAAAGTAATTCCATTTTCACAAATAACTTTGTAATCTTATTTAATTTGAAATACTTTTTCCCATTTTTTTTCTTACTATTTTGTATATGTAGTAAGTCTGGACTTTACAACACAGATGTAAAAGTTTTGTGTCCCTGAAATTGCAAGAAAAACTTTCTCTGGCTTTAACAGTGTTGGAATTCCCTCTGAAGAGCTTTCTCTAAACATCTCAGAAATGGATTAGAAGCCTGACAAGATTATGTAATTGACCTGTGAGTCTGCCATAGGTATCAGAAGGGCAATATCAATCTATGTGCAGATTTGCATCTCCACACACCTATCCTTGCATCCGTACATCATTTATCTTTGAGATTTTACTAGGTCCAGGAATGGATGTTCATGCTCATCAACTGATTCTTGTTTTACTTCTTGAAAAGAAAAAAAAAAGGAGCTGGAAGAAAATTAGTGCATAATTTATTCCACAGTACATTTATAAATCATATATACATATCAATGAGGCAACATTTGAACCCAATAAAACAGTTTGTTCAGCTCTGAATCATAAGAGCAGTAGTAGCAGAACACTAGAGATACCTCAAAAGTGGCAATTCCTCCCTATAGGTTGAGGAACAAGAGATTAGTGTTTGAATTGAGAGTGGAGCAACTGTGATCAACAGTTAAAAATATGCATAGGCACTACAAAAAGCTCACCAATAAATGTGAGTTCCTGTGTGTATCCTGTCCTATGTCACCTCCAGTGTATGTGTTGATGTATATTGTCCCTGGTGGGTATTGATGCATATTGCCATAAGAACTGGATACCAGGAAAACAACCAGTTTAGTCTTCTTTTCCTTTGCAACGAAAGTTGTCAGCTCTGTGGACAGACCCAGGCATGAACTGATGTTTGTAGAAAGACCTTCCAGTGAACTGAGTGCATATGCAGATGTGCAAGAAGTTAGGTAAGTCTGATGCTGTTTGCAGTATCAGTGGTCACTCTCTACTTCAATGTGTCTTACTTTTTAAGCAAATAAAATAATTTACAAGAGTGGGAAAATGACTGAAGACAGATTGAAAGCAACTGATCTCAACACATCAGGACTAGTGACTTGTGAGTTTGTAAAGGGTTTTTAAGGCAATTTTGTGTAATCTCATTGTATAAAGAGGCCAATTATCATCAGAATTGCCTTGCAGGACTGGAATCTTGCATTATATCCCCTGCAGGTACCCAAATCACAAATTCTTCCTTTGTCACACAAGTTCAAGTCAATCTGTCATAGAAGTTGGTCCTCACAGTGTGACTTGGCAAGAGTATTTTACATATATAACTGCATGTCTTTTAAAACAGTTTCACTGCAGACCAAATTCTCTATCCATTGGACAGATACTGGTGTAGCATAGTTCTGTCCTTAAGATCAGTTTTGGCAGTGGTGGGTGAAAACAGAAGGACATGGCAATGTATGGACTGTACTTGAGATGACAGTTTTGGTTACACTGTCATAAAATTTCTGTACTACAGACATTTGGGTTGACTTCTGCCAGACTCCTGTCATCGTTTTCTCTTGTGGTTGCTTGAGGTGTAAATGGGTTTCATTAGCCAGCTGCCACATCACTTCCAGCTGCTTTTTCACTTGGTCTCCACATATAAGTGCTGTATGGATTCCATGTCTGGGTGAGGACACAGGAGACACAGAGATACTGCAGGAAGTGTCACAACTGAACAGGTAGAAATCTTCTCTCTGAGGCATAAGACCAGTACTTCTACTACAGTTCCCACTAGAGGTTCCCCATAAAGGTGGGAAACTTTTGGAAAAGCTTTGCAACCTCTGGAAATAAAACTAGAGAGAAAAATTTGTTGCCAGTCTCTGGCAATGAATGCTCAGGTTAGCAGCAGCCTTGGAGACAGCCTGAAGAATCAGCACTTATTCACTTTACAAAAGAAGGCATTTCTTCATAGCTCTGCCTCGGGAAATGTAGTCCCACCAAGAACTTTATACCTTCAGGGCAGCTGAGTTGTTTTTTCATTTGTCTTCTACAAAGGCTATCTTTTCTGATGACAACATTTGGGAACTGAGACTGTTTATACCCTGATTTATGTTCAGTTGAGCAATGGCTAGAATGAGGACAGGCTCTGACTGAAAATGCAGATCTTCATAAAGAAAAATTGAATGAGTACCTTGAGTCAAGTTTTGGCCCAGGACTTGTTACACCAGGACCCATCTGTGTTGCAGATGTCTGGTGTGATCTTTGCAATATCAACCAGAGGCAATTTGCCCAAGGCCAGTTGTAAAAAAAAACCCACCCAAAACAAGCCAGGAAATGAGGCATTAGTGTGACTTCCAAAAGTTTGAGATGGTTGTGCACCAAATGTACTCTGACATTAGAAAAATGAAGTGATTCTTGAAATCTCAGCAGACACTTACCTGCCATGCCAAGTCCCCAGATAGTTTTGAAAATCTAGCTCCACTCCAGGACTCACTTTCCAGTTTCTGAAGTGGTGAAATAGCTCTTCCCTGCTTAACAGGGCTTTTGTGAGAAGAAAGACATGTACTGAGACATGCAAAGACATTCTAGTAACGAGCACCATGGAAAAATTAAAATAAACATTCTCATTTCTTGGGAGTACTGGAAATCCCTTTTAGAATTTGCAGAGCAGAAAATCAATAAGGGAAAGGGAGCAAACATAAATGAAAACATGTCTTGCCCTAACTGAGTCTACTCACTGTGGGATTTAGGGAACATCTAAATGTTTGCTTCAACTTTTTTTAGCTTATATTTTCTTTGTTTGTTCGTTTGATGTTGTTGTCATTTTGTTTTTAAATCAACTTCCATATCCCTTTTGTGAATACTGCCTCTCTCCTGGGACTACCTGGGAGGTACAAAAGGTACAAGCAGGACTGGAGGGAAACATAGATCATGGTCTGCATCTCTGCACAGAACTCATTTATATTGCTCTGCTTAGTTCTGAGTGTTAATGAGAAGAAAGCCTCAGGGAAGGTCTTTGCACTGTGGCTGAAACCAAAGGGTAGCAATGTTTCCAGTCATCCCTCGGCTTGATACATCTGAGAGATGAAGCAAGGCAGAGATAATACTAGGCTATTTTCATGTCCTTTTTGACTACCTTGCTCCCACAAGGGTCCTAGTTTGAGAAAAGGGATCTATGTCTCTACCACCCTAAATCAGAGCACACCCAGAGCTGCTCTAGCTCTGGCAGCAGCAGTTGCCTTAACTCCCACCTGAAACTGTTTTATATCCTCTCTACATTGCTGATGCTGTGCAAAAGGGAAATGAGGTAAAGTAAAACTGACTCCCAGGGTGATTGTATATCTTTATTTTGCTTTCTATTCTTTCTTTTCAGGAATCTATGTACATTGAAGAGTCCCAAAATAAAAATGGGGTGATTTCTCTGATTTTCTCTCTGAAAGAAGAAGTTGGAGCATTGGCTAAAGTCCTGCGAACATTTGAGGTAAATATTTTCCTTCAGGAAACCTGATCAGATCCTTACCTTTTTGTATTGCAGCAACATTTTATCATAGAATTTTAGGGGTTGGAATGGGCCTTAGAGATCATCCAGTCCCAACTCCTTGCCCTGGACAGGGACACCTCCCACCAGAGCAGGTTGCTCAAGGCTTCATCCAACCTGGCTTTGAACACTGCCAGGGTTGGGGCAGCCACAGCCTCCCTGGGCAACCTGTGCCAGTGTCTCACCACCCTCACAGGGAAAACTTCTGCCTAATATCGCACCTAAATTTCCTCTCCTTCAATTTGTACCCATTGCCCCTTGTCCTGTCACTGCAGCTCCTAACACAGAGTCCCTCTGCATCTTCTCTGGAGACCCCTCAGATACTGGAAAGTTGCTCTGAGGTCTCAATACAACCTTCTGTTCTCCAGGCTGAACAGCCCCAACTCCCTCAGCCTGTCTTCATAGGGGAGATGCTCCAGTCCTCTCAGTAACTTCATGGCCTCCTCTGGACTTGTTCCAACAGTTTCATGTCCTTCTTACATTGAGGACACCAGAATTGCATGCAGAGTATTTGAGGTCTCATTTGTCATTTTATTTCATTGCCAGTACAGGGGAAAGCAACATGCATTTCTTTTCTGGGCTTAAAATCCCTTAAAGTCTTGGGGTAGAAGTAACAACTTTTGAAGTTGAAATTTGATTTCAAACTTTTAAATTAAAACTTCTACCTTTAACTGATATGAGGGTGGGAAAAACACAAGAAAGAAATATTCCACTGTAACTTTGAGTAAGAGGTAGAAATGAATTGGGCTGTGCCCTAAGATAGACTTAGAACCAAGTAATTTGCCATATAACTTCTAAGGCAAGTCTAACCTGCGTTGTGAGCCATGTGACTCATACACATTGCATGAAGTATTTCTACTGGAGGCAGCTACCATACTCTTGGCCCTTGTCCACCTCAGAAAACCTGGTGTAAATAAGCCCATGATCTGCCACATGTGATACTTCTGCAGAGTGGGTAGAAGGTACCTACAAAACAGCATCAAAATGACAGCATGTTGTTTACCCCAAAAGGACTCAGTAACTTGTACTGGCTGATTTGGAAAGCTTTTGGGGAAACAAGGAGCCATTTACCTTCCAGGACATTGTGTGCCTATTTATTCTTGTAGAAATGTTTCCCAGCTATCATGAATGCTGTTTAAAAAGCACGAAAGTCTTGCAATTCAGGATGGTTGTGTTGCAACATGCAGAGCTGTGTACTCTGTACTTCCAAGCAAACACACCGTTACATTGGTTCTGTGGCTTCACTCTCTTTTTCTTTTTAATGATCCTCATGCAATAGCTGTGCCTGAAAACAGCAGTTTCTGTAGAACCGTGGAAGTTGTGGCCTGCATATTTTCCATTCGTAAATTGAATTGACTAGGAAATGAAAGGTTTGTGTGTTATTGGTACAAAGGAAAAATAGTTATGAGTTCTAGGACATATTTTAATCATTAAGATGAAACGAAATTCACACCAATGGCAGCAGAGCTAGTCTAAATCTGTGAACTGACCACTGTAACACAGTCCAAACATCGGTATGTCGTGCGTTCCTGTGAGTGAATTAAGGAGACTGTTGATATTCTCTCATTAAATACATTGCTGTCTACTAACCAAAATGCTGTCAGCTCTGAAGAAAAACCCTTGGGGGAGCTAGTACAGGGAAGAGAGAAGTAGCCATTTTTTGGCTGTGACTCTTGTCCCAAAGCAGATACCTAAACTAGACTGTCCGAGTCTCGTTTTTTCTGAGTAATCCTGGAGGCAATTGAGGGATATGTCTCAGCTAAAGATGCCTTCACTGGTGGTTGGGTGGCTTCCCATCCCAACAAAGCCAGTTCTTTCTGTGCTAACTTGCAGTTTCCTCCAGCACCAAGGCTTGACAAGACACCTGGCATAGGTGCCCTTTATCAGTTTTACATGCTGGTGGCAATGTAGTAAGGAAATGGATGAGTGGCTGGAGGAAAGGCATTTAATGCTACAAGCCTGACATGCAGCTTCAACTCCTCATTGGGGCTGTCATTACTGAATTCCTGATGTGTAAACCAGAGCAGCCCTTGGGCTGTTCTAACTCAGTTCAAAGAACCTTGCCCTCTTCCCAGCAGCGTAAGACTCGTGTATGTACGGCTGATATAACCTCCACCCTTTTCAACCTGGGCCATACTATGGTTCCTCAGAGACACAGAATTTCATAGAATCCTGGAATGGACCTTACAGATCACCTAGTCACAACCCAGTGCCATGGGCAGGGACATCTCCCCATTAGATCAGGTTGCTCAAGGCTTCATCCAACCTGGCCTTGAACACTGCCAGGGTCGGGGCAGCCACCACGTCCCTGGGCAACCTGTGCCAGTGTCTCACTGCGCTTAGAGTAAAATACTTTTTTCTCCTATCTAACCTAGATTTCCCCTCCTTCAGTTTGAATCCATTACCCCTTGTCATATCATTGCAGTTCCCAACAAAGAGTTCATCTCCAGCTCCCTTGTAGGCCCTTCAGATATTGAAAAGTTGCTATGAACTCTCCATGCAGTCTTCTCCAGGCTGAACAGCCCCAAATCCCTCAGCCTATCTTCATAGGGGAGATGCTCCAGTCCTCTTAGCAACTATGTGGCCTCCTCTGGACTTCCTCCAAGAGTTCCATGTCCTTCTTATGTTGAGGACACCAGAACTGTACACAGTATTCCAAGTGGGTCTCATGTGAGCAGAGTAGGGGGCAAGAATCACCTCTTTTGACCTGCTGCCCACACTCCTTTGGATGCAGCCCAGGATTCCATTGGCTTTCTGGGCTGAGCTCACACTGCAGCTCATGGGGAGCTTCTCATCCACTGTCACTCCCAAGTCTTTCTTCTCACTGCTGGTTTCGATTACTTCCCCACCCAACCTGTAGCTGTGCCTGGGATTGCCACAGTTCAGATGGAGGACCTTGCACTTAAAGGTCCTTCAAGATGATAGATAGGAAGCCAAAACTTGTCTAAATACCTTAGTCTGAAACAGAACATCACACATAACTGATATCAATGCTTAAAATCAGGAAGACAGAAGAGTCATTGGTCAAAAAACCCAAGAAATCTTTCAGGTTTCTTATCAAAACTGAAAAAGCAAAGCTGAGTGTTTTGGGTTAACCCAAGTGTTACACTTTGCGGAAATGTTTATTTCTCTCTGTAGTGATAAAGGCCTATTGAAATTGAGATAACTTTTATAAACAACGAAGTCTGATAGTAAAAAAAAGTGAAGAAAAAAATTGTTCCACTTCAAAGATTGGCCTTTCCATGGTTAAATTACCTTTAAAAATATCAGAAATGAACATTTCCATATGTAAAATGATTTTCTTCAGTTTTAATTGCAATTTGTCCACACGAATTTGTGAATACATTAATCTTCTCTGAAGTTCTGTTTCTGATGGATTTACAAGCAGTAGAAGATCATCAGCTGTATTAAGTGGCAAATATTGGATTGGAATACATTACACGTTTTCTCAACCCATTCTCGGAGAGGAGACATATCTTTTCTTCACTGACAGGACCTTCTCAAACACAGAACAGGACTTCAGCACAAGGTCCAGCCATCAGTGGGTAGGGCTCTAGCTCAAAGCATACCCATCAATTTCCACCAATTACTCCTGCTCCCAGAATAAGTTACTGTTCCATGGGAGTAAGTTACTGCTCCATGGGAATTGCAGAATCACAGACTTGGAAGGGACCCATGAGGATCATTTTGGCTACCTCCTGGCCCTGCACAGGACATCCCTGACAATCATACCATGTGCCTCAGAGCATTGTCCAAACTCCTCTTGAACTTTGTCAGGCTTGGGGCTGTGACCACTGCCCTGGGGAGCTGTTCCAGTGCCCAAACACCCTCTAGGGGAAGACCCATTTTCTACTCTCCAGCCTAAACCTCCCCTGACACAACTTCAGACAATTCCCTCAGATGTTGTCACTGGTCACCAGAGAGAAGAGGTCAGTGCTGCTCCACCACTTCCTTCTGTGAGAAAGTTGTATACAGTGGTGAGGTCTCCCCTCAGTCTCATCTTCTCCAAGCTGAACAGACCTAGTGACCTCAGCTGCTTCTCATATGGCCCTCAAGGCCCTTCCCCAATCTTCATTGCCTCCTTTGGATGCTCTATAATAGCTTAATATTTTTCTTGTGTTGTGATGCCCAAAACTGTACACAATATTTGAGGTGAAATGGGAGTAATGAGCTATACTAAATGAGACCCTGAAAGAGCCAGCACAGATGACTCTGCTTTTTTTTCTGTTTAGCAACTTTATTCAACAGAAAGTCCAATGTGACTGTTATCTCTTTGTCCCTTGGGAAGACATTGACTCTGCAGTGGTTTGGGTTGTTTCCAAATCATGGGAAGAGAGCAGTCACTTTGGCCAGGGGGTGTGGTGGACATGTTTACAGTGATAGGTGAACAGACCAGGCATGTCTCTACCACAAGACTTGTTTTTTTCACTATACTGTACATATGTACAGCTATGATCACTGTATTACACTGCTTCAAATCCATGTCCTCAGTCTTATCTCTCCTCTTCCCAGAGCCAGGAGAGCAGTATTTCTTGATCTAGTAATCCAGCATGAGTTTAAAGAGAGAACTGCCCTCTTGACAGTGCTTCTGCAGTGCTTTTGGTCTGTCCTGCTCCAACTAGATTGTGCTGAATGCTCATGCCAGATTTCAGGGTTGGAGCAGAAGTGCCAAGTGATGGACACCAGGGGCTGCTCCAGGATTAGCTGCCCTCTGGAGATATTTGCTGGCAGGGACCTGCTCTGAGTCACTTTGCCTCCATGAGCTTGGAAAGAAGACCCTAGCCTATGTTAAGGAGAAGATAGGGAAGCACTGTCTTCAGCTGAGAAGCAGGCCCTTGGACAGTAAAGCTGAACCAGATGGTTGCGTTTTCCTTCACTTTGGGAAACCATGGCCAAAGATATCACTGTAATTTCTTAAGTCCCCTGATCTCCTGTGCAAATTA